CGACAATGGACGCAAAACCAAAGCTCCCAGAAGACCCTTTTTCGAATGGAACTGAAAGACCGACCGAGCGACAGTGGGGCCAAAAGTCCACTCAAAAGAGTGATAGACGCATGCGGTACATTCAGAAAAACGGAAACGTAAAACGAAAGCGCAACTGATGCAGGAGAGATCGACCGAGCGACAGTGGGGCCGAAAGTGCACTCAAAAGAGTGATAGACGCATGCGGTACATGCAAAGAACGGAAACGTAAAACGAAAGCTCAACTGATCCATGAGAGACCTACGGGGGAAACTCAGAAAACACATGCTCAAACACAACTGAATACCGAGCGACACTGGACCAGGGGGGAATCGAACCCCCGACCGACCGTACTGCATTTGCTTAGTGGGACCCTAACTGGGGAGAAGAGAATTTTTCCCAAAAAAGTATCAAATCAAAAAGCGTTTTTCCCAAAATAGTAGTAAAATTTCGACCTCCGCACAGGGGGCTCAGGAAGCACAAACTTAGTTTATATTCGCGCAGACTAAGTTTGTATTCGCCAATTTTCCCAAAAAAGTAGCAAATTTTTGGGAAAATTAGCCTCGAGAAACTACGTGCACGCGCTCTAGGTCAGGCTAAATCGTAATATTAGTAGTAATTTAAATATATGTATAAATATATTTTAATTTACAAAAAAAATCTATAATATATATTACCAAAAATTATTTATATAAAAAATAAAAATAATTTAAATAAATAAAAAATATCATTTAAATCCTTAATTTATATTAATCTAATTTTAAAATAATATATTTATTATATAATACAATATTTGTTAAATTCTAATTTATCCATTAATATATTATCTTATTTTTTTCTCTAAAAAGAAATTTTTTATTAACAAATTAAAAATATATATAATTATTCAAAATATATATTGTTTAAATTCTATATACATAAATATATTTTTATAAGTATATATAATAAAATATATAAATCAAAATAATTTATATAACATATTATATTTTAAAAATCATATTTAAAATATTTATATATAAAAATATCCAATATTCTTTTTTTAAAATATATTTCTTTATTTTTTTAAATTTTAAACATATAATATTTTATAATTTTCCTTTTATTTATATATATAATATATATATATATTACTAATAAATTATATTAATTTTATTATTATTATTTATTATTTATTTTATTATTTTATTTATTTTAAACATATTATTAAAATAATTTCATATCATATATTATTTTAATTTCCATATAATATATTTTGTTCATCTATATTATTCATTATTTTTTTAATTTTATTTTTTTATTATATATAATTATATAAATTATTTTAACTTAAATTTTAAATATTCAAATTTCATATCACCATTATTTCCATAAAATAAATAAATCAAATTAAAAATAAAAAGCATTCAAAAATTAATTTATTAAATAATTATTTTCTCACCATATTCACGTATGAGGTTTTTGTTTTTAGTACTATCTCCG